CACCTCGAAATGACGACAATCGCATCGGTCAGCCCCCCAAGGTACCACCACGATGGAATGGACAGTCGGATGAGAAGAAGTCTGGTACGAGTAATCCAGTTCCAGTCCTTCCCATGTCAGCATCTATTGGTGCACAAGAAGATGCTTCATTTCCCCACGTTTCTACTACTGCTACTGTTGCACCTAGACTCAACATTCCTAAAAGGAAAACCCTGACTTCGACGCAGATTGACAATGTCTCCAAGGCCGTCGTCGCGCAGGATGAAGCTCATAGACAACCCATGGGCGGCATGGCGCTTCCTGGGCTTACAGGTAATTACTACAGCAACTCTGCCGTAAAGCGAGGTCCGTCATCCACATACGCATCAAGCGAAGGTGTAGCATCGCCTCAAATGACCTCTCCGCAAAGCGCAGTCTCAGCACCAGCGACAGAATCTGCTTTTCGCCGCCCAAGCATCCCCTTCTCTGCAACAAAAATGAACCGCAGTCCTAGCATCAACTCACTCGCTCGACCTGTTTACCCGGTAACCCCTCAAGTTCCTATTATAAGCGTGCCCACAAAGGCAAGCACCCTTCCCATTCCGGCCGCGCCGCCCCGTCTACGCACTCCGAGCCCAAGCCTTATGCAGCGCATGCCCAGCTTCGAGAATTTTGCCAAAGACCAAAACAAGGGTGGTGCGGAAGCTGAAGATGGGGCTGCAAGAGGCAGAACACTGAAGCCTAAGAAAATGAATCTGAAAAAGCAATCGGTTGAAGATCTGAGGCGGTTGTATGAGGAGCGTGCTGGGACTGCTAGTGTTCTTGTTCAAGCTGGAAAGCAGAAGGGTGTTTGAGTGGTCTACGGTTATTTTAGGTGGCGTGTTGTGTTGATTACATGTCGCTGGCGTGCTTCACACTGTATTACTCAACTGGACTCCTTATTGTTTCTCTTTCTTACACATGTTTATACCCTCGACATCTCTCATCACCTATACCTATCTTTCCTGCATATCTATACATGTAATCACGATAAATCTTATACACACCTTGTCACTCCCGCTTCTACTGTTACAGCTGCGTAATCAGTCCGGCTTTTCGATCTGTCGGGGGGAAGCATCACGATGAGACTATAGTAATACTGAAGTGCGCACACAGGTGCCCTGTTAGGGGTTGAAAGTGGAAAATAGCCTCGTGGAAGCCAGATTGTGATTTGTCTGGTAGTGGTTGTTTGTATGTTGAATATGACCATGTCTATAACAGCTCGTAGCCACCAGAATTAAACCCTCCATGTAAAAGTAACATGCGTATAGTCCAGCGGCTGTGCGCCATACCTCCACTGAACGATGCCTGGATACACTTTCTATACTGTAAACATTTTTAGGCGGGAGTCACCCCTTTGCAGAGCTCACCGAACCAGCTGCTGCCCGAAGAAAGCCATACTCCAATCTCCATGCTTCATACCGTGGAGTTGTCAGCTCATCGGTCCCTGATTTCCATTCGTATTCTGCCACCATGTTGGATCATATTCTTCTTGTGTGTGATGATGGTGCCCTTCGTGCGTGTCTTGTGAGTAACCGACGTTATCCGTTTGTTGCGCATAGCTTCCTCGATGTGCATACCCAGGGCCTCCCTGGCTGTGTGGATTGCCATATACACCGGTAGCGAAGCCATCAATATGACTCGATCGCCAATCCTCGCTGATTTTAAAACCATCGCGACCAAGACGATCACTCATATCAGTGTTGTGGAGTACGCTTTCCAGACCCATAGGACTTATTTGTTGGTAGTTATGGCGCGGTACGATTGGACCTGGCACACCAGGAATTGGGTTCCAAAACATGGATTCTGCAGGTTCTGTGGCGGGCGATGTCATTGTGGTAGACATGCTAGATGCGGAGGACATGGGCTGTGAGTACTGGTATGTCGACATGGGGATCCCTGTGTTGTAATTATTCTGTAAAGGTGTATGTCCGACAACAGGGGACAGATGGTGTTGGCTGGATACCACACTACTTGGTCTCGGATTGGCAGGGTGTGTAGCCAGCTGTAACCGGGGTTGAGGGGCAAACATTGACAAGCTCTCCCTTCTTTGAGCGATAGGTGGGTGGAGGCGACCAGGCCCTATCCGGTTACCAGTGATCGTCGTTGTATTGGGCGGTACCAAGAGAGGGTCAGCCGGAGGACTGATTTGGCCTTTGGGCTTGTTAGGGTCACTTGTTGGTATCAGGACAGAATTGCTAAGCTCCTCTGGGAAAGGTAATTTCCACGTTTTCGCCAAGGTGTATATGATCCGGAAGCTCCTCGCCCCAAAGTAATGGCATTCGTGAAGATCATCCAAACCTTGCATGCCCTCAATAAGGTTTTGTCGAGAGATACTGTTATCTTTCGAATAGAGTAGATGCACGACGCAGACGGTGAGGAGTGTGTGCGGTATGAGCAGGTGAGCCTGACGGAAGTTATAGAACTGTCGGTAGATCCTGACGAGTTCAGACACTTTGTTAGCTGCGTTGATGCAGATGTCGCGAGGGCGTATGTCAGAGTGAATGAGGTCGACTTTGAGCAGCGGGCGAAAGAGATGGACGATAATTGTCCAGTATAGCATACTACATCTAGTGTCAGTTCTTGTCCCAGCATTGATGGATTATTTGGACGTACTGTAGTACCAAGATGTGGGGCTCGGGTTCCTTCGTGCCCTCTATACCTAAAGAAGGTGGTAGTCTTCGGTACCACGCCTGGTATTTGTGATAACAGTCGAGTAGTTTACTGCTTGTAAGCCGCTCCTTTGGCGCAAAAAACATGTGGTTGTTGTCATTGACGAGCTCCGAGAGTGAGGTGAACTCCTGGAGAAACATGCGGGTGGTTACGACACCACCCGCTGCGACTTGTAAAGGTGCGGGGAAAGCCTCAGGGAGGTTGGAGGTCTCTTCCAGGATGGGCTTGTCAAGAGTTATAGCGGCTCGAGGAAGTTGAGATATGCGACCAGTAACGATTGTCCAGACCCTGTGTGAGGTTAGCCTAGCCAATGCAAAGTAGGTAGAATAAGACCTACGTATCCACAGTAAAGCAGCCCCAAAAGGTGACTTTTCTCACTTCGACTTCACTCGGCGTTAAGCCAAGGGTAGCATTGGCTCCGTAGTTCAAATGTAGACCAAGCTCAACACACATGCGAAGACATCTTCCTATGTAGGAAAAGCCGTTGCTTTCCCTCCCCGTACTCGGCTCGCGCATGGACATGATACAGAGGGCCTGAACCGTCGTAAGGCTCGGGGTTTCATCGTCGAATAACAGTCGCCTGGCCTCAGCGAAGAAGTGATCGCCAGCTGTGCGGAAGTTGTCGGGATCGGTGCGGCCCGCCGGATCGTCTGTGAGGTGACATGCGTATGCGCAAATTGCGTTGACCAGTAAGGAGCAGCAGTACTTGTCGCGCCCTGCCCTGAAGTCTTTGTAAAAGCACTCTCGGCTGAAGAGAACATAGAAAGGGTGGCTCCAGGTGAAGTAAAGATCAAGTAGCTTCTCAACGAAAGCCAAGTCGTCCGTCACGTTGGTCCACGTAGAACCTTGACGTTCTGGCATCACACTATTGGTACGCAACCGACCACCAGAGAAGTTCTCATCCTCCGGGACCAGGCCCAAGCTAGCAGAATGACCAAAGTGTCTGCTTTGGCCGGTGGACGTCACAGCTGGCTTCCCAAGCAACACACTCAAGTCCGACTCGAGACTCTGAATGTCGACAGGCTCACTCTGTGTCAGCAACACGTTTTTGCGCCATTGATCGGCCAAAGAAGCGAGGTCGAGGTTGGGGTCTCTTCGAATATGATTGAGAAATTCCTGGACGTGTTCTTCTGGCAGGCGTCTCAGGGAATTGATGATGAACTCGGCGTTGGACGCATTCTCGGAGCTGGAGGCGGCGACAAGGGAGGCATCGCGTTTGGTGCCAGTGTTGTTGGTAGTTGCGGGGGCTGCCTTGGTACGACGACTTTCGCTATCAGCATCGTAGTAGCACTCAGTCTTGTAGACGGCAGTGCAAGTTGCGCATACGGGAGTACTGCCGTCACACTGTGAATGAGGTGTTAGCAAGAGGGCGATTCGCGAGGGGCCGGAAGGGTTCCCCGAAGAGTGGCCCAAACAAGAATTGCAAATTGCATTCAGCGGGCAATGAGTCGTCCGCAGAGGCGAATGTCCAGCATCAGGCCGCACGTACGAGCTTCATGTAGCATTGGGCCATGCAGCGAGAGGAATGATACTCACTTTGGACTTGCGTTTCCGGCAGGGCACGCAGGCCGACTGTACACAACGCCGCTTACTGGCTTTGGTATCCTGGGCCTGCGAGCTGTCTTGATCGTCCCTGTTGAAAGAGGTGGCAGTAGCGCCGCGGGCCATTGTTGATCACAAGGGGAGTGAAGGGACAATCCGCGCAGGCTCCGAGGATGGACGTGTTGGTTATGCCATTCCTCTGGGCCGGGCGGGAAAGTAATACGGGTTAGCCACCGCGGTCGCAGCAGAAGAACAGCGGGTTCGGTTTAGGTAGTTGTGACGTTGGCGGTCGTCGCGACATCCAACGTGCCTGCCGTAGTTTGTGTTCGGCAAGATACAAAAACACATGGATGATTTTCGGCAGGGTGGCAAGACTAGAAGCGGCACCCCAAAAGACAAGGCGCGACCACGACCAAGCGGCTCGATTGGTCTGTTGCAGGATCTAGATCGGGTTTCAGACGCCTTCTGCAGTTGCCGGTGGGCGGTAAAAGGTTAAAAAAGCGTTCACAGGTGTGCCACACATGGGAATTTCGAATCGAAGTTCCGAAATGGCATGAATCAGCTGACGTGCCTGGACGCGAAAGGCTTTTGCGGAGATAGATGCGACAAACGTCAGGGCGCGCTTTGGGACGCTTCAACCAATGGAGCTTGTTTCGGGTACCGCAGCATCAGCTTGCGACAGGACAGATTTTTCTGGAGCACCAGGAGCATCACCGACTAGCTTCGGCATGGCGCACCGAGCACTGGATCGATCTGTCACGGCCGCGTCACATAGGCTCAAGGAGGAACATGCCCTGGTGCGCAATCTCGATGTCGGCGAGACAAGAGGGAGCGGCACCTGAGAAGCGCTGCTTGTGGACAAGAAGATAAACTGGAAGAAGAGGGGTTGTCATGGCGGAGTATGTCATATGTCATGCGCTAGCAACCGATCTCCAGGGTTCTTGCTTTTGGTGGAGAGGAAGGCCCGATAGCATCCGCTGCCAATCCATTGCCGTTAGTCTCCGGTGAACTTCGGCTTGTTTACGGATCAAGGTATTACCAGGTGGCGGTGCCTTTACCATTATACCGGAATTGTCTCGACTACTCTACAATACCACTCTTCAACATACCGACCACTTGCCATGCACCAAAGGTCCAGATGCGACCACTAACCTTTCCGCGTAGCCTGTTCGCATGTGAAATTGTCGCCTCTTCGTCACGTTTGTCAGTTCGGCCGAATGGTGTGGCCAGATCTGTTCGAGGTGAATCACCTTTCGATTTGAATGGGAGTCTCTGGCTCGAGTTCTCATAGTTCGAATTGGAAGAAAAAGAGCATGTTGGAGCAATTTCCCAAGCTTATCCATGGGTCTTGAGTTGTTGAGCGGTGACGTGTCTATCTGTACATCAAGATTGATAACCTTTTCTGTCTTGGGGGTAATAATGTTGGAAAACTCGCAGCCTCTGACACCTTAACTCCCATTATACCCGACCAGTGCCTTTCAGTCTATTCATGCACCATTGACGGGCAGAACACCCTTCAGTGGCGGCAGCAGACTTCTTGCGCCCTGTCTCGCCTGCTGAGCCAGTACAGCATCCATAATGACCAATGCAGCCATCATCTCAACGATGGGCACTGCACGAGGCACTACACAAGGATCGTGTCTGCCCTTGGCTTCTAAAATACCTTCTTCCTGGTCGTAGGTGACTGTCGACTGTGCCTGCCCAATAGTTGCTGCGGGCTTGAACGCTACGTTGAAGTAGATGGGCGCGCCGTTCGTGATACCGCCTTGAATACCACCTGAATTATTCGTCTTGGTAGTGAGCTTTGGTTTCGAACGATATTTACTTGCATCAGGGTTCTCGCCAGCCGGAACAGCAGGAGCCTTGACAAAGGCATCATTGTGAATTGAACCAGGCACTTGTGCGCCTCCGAAGCCAGAGCCGATCTCAAACCCCTTAGTCGCCGGTATCGACAGCATGGCATGTCCCAACTTGGCTTCCAGCTTGTCAAAGCATGGTTCTCCCAAGCCTGTTGGGCAGCCTCTTATGACGCAAGTCACTGTGCCACCTATGCTGTCCTGCGCATCGCGGTACTTGGCGATCAAGTCCTCCATACGCTTTGTGACTTCTTCGCTCGGGCATCGCACAGGCAAAAACTCGTCTACCTTGTTGCGTGTAATTGAGTCGATGAGCTTGAGGTACTCTGGGTTCGTGGATGCGGTGGGGTGTTCGGGTGTGGGGGGGAAGAGGAACTCGTTTCCGATGGAGTTGGTGAAGGCGATGATCTCGATACCGTAGGCTTCGCGCAGGTACTTCTCTGCTATGGCGCCAGCTGCTACTCTTCCTGGGTATTGTCAGCACTCGCGTGGTGATCGCGCGTAAAGTCACGCACCAATCGTCTCTCGTGCACTACTGCGTCCACCACCTGAGCTAGCCTTCACACCGTACTTTTCCAAGTATGTCCAGTCGGCATGGCTGGGTCGCGGGTACTTGTCCATGGTCTGGTTGCCGTAATCTTGCTTGCGCTGGTTCTCGTTCATGACCCGGACGCCAATTGGGGTGCCTAATGTGATGCCAAACTCTGTACCGGACTGAATCTCTACACGGTCCTTCTCATTGCGGGGTGTTGTGATAGCGGACTGGCCGGGTCGACGGCGCGTCATCTGGGGTTGGATGTCGTCCTCAGTGAGGGCCATGCCAGGCGGGCAACCATCGATTATGGCGCCGACGGAAAGACAGTGGGATTCACCATAGCTACGGGGTTCAGTATACTATAGTAGATCATATGGTAGGTGGGTGCGTACGTGGTGACCCTGAAGTGCGTACCAAAGGTAGACATTGTGGTTGTGATGTTGGCGAGCTTGTGGAGATCCGGCTCTCTTCTGAACAGCGAGTCTAGCCAAGGAAACGTGTATCCGGTGTATGCAGAGGTGCCTCTACGTTTAAAAAAAAATAGTACAAGACTAATTGTTGTATTGTTGCAAGTCCAGACGCGTGCGCTAGAATAATCAACGTCAGAGTCACTCTAGGAGTTTTATTTATTTAGCGGGGCGCGGAGTAGAGCCGTCTGGGAACCCGAGATCGGCCACCGATGGTAAGGCTGGATTCGATTACATAGGCAACCCATGTCTCCCTTCCATCGGTGCTTCAACGCACTTCATGCGAATTGAACAATCGGAACTGCAGCCCAGGAAAGGGTCTCTAAGATTCTAAGATGTAACCAAGAAAAGCCGACGGAGGCACTGGCTTGCACTATGCGATGGGAACAAGAACGAGCATGAGGAGAAGGGATCAAGAGCTCCGGGGCTGCTTCGCTCCAGACGCAGACTAAGCATATATCTAGACTGCTTCGATCCTGTTCGACTGCTAGACTCGACATGGAAACCGCAGGAATTGGCAAATAGGTTGGCAGTCTTCGCCCTTGAAATGGTGATTGGTTTATAGTGGCATGGGGATGTGCTTGCAGGGTCAACGTTGTCGCCCAAGCAGACAACCCCACCCCTCATGGCATGTGCTGTTCTTGTGCTGTACAAAGCTTCCGGTCAAGGAAGGACTGGCGACGACATATACGTGGGCGAGTGGGTCGAACAACTGGAAGACGATGGCACGCGCGAGGGTGACTGCGCCTGAGAGCATTTCCGTGGTTGAGAAGGACAGATGGCAGGTGTCAATCGGATCAAGCCAGTGTCAAGTAGAATGAAAGAGGTTCTGGACGATGCATACCAAGACCAGACAACAAAGCGTATGAAACAACGGCCAGTATGGAGTCAGATGGGTGAATAGATGAGCTCCCATCCGCGCACGTTGCCGACCAACTGGCAGCACGAAGATCATCCGGGATTACTAGCGCGGACCCTTGCCGTGACTTCTCAAGAAGTTTTGCTTCCAGCCAGCAACACCACCCCCAAAACACCCCTCTATCCTCCATCGCATCCCCCACCAAACCGCCATTATGACTGAATACGTCAAGGTCGAGAAGATCATCCCCAAGTTCCCGCCGCCGGCGTTCAGCGACATCGCCAAGGCCTCGAACGACGTATGTTTTGGCTCCCCGCGACGAGCTCCCGCATGGCGCCATTGCTAACAGAGCCGCCAGCTTATCAACAAGGACTTCTACCACACTGCCGCAGGTCCGCGACACCAATTGACTCCCAAGCTCAAGCACTGACGCGCCCGCAGCTGCCCTTGAGGTCAAGCTTAAGGCCCCCAACGGTGTCAACTTCACCGCCAAGGGAACCTCTGCCCACGATGGGCCAGTCACCTCTTCTGTAAGTATGCGACAGTACGCGGAAAAATACCATTGCTAACGAACCAACCAGCTTGAGGGCAAGAAGTCGCTTTCCAACGGTACGACAAACCATTCATTTCTCCCCCGCTCTACGAGCCTCGTAATTCCCATTCATACGTCTTCCAACTTTCAGTCTTATATATTCTACATGAAGCAGCCCCCAGGCAAAAAGGGTGCTTCTGTAAGCGGCTACGGGATCAACCTGCTGACAACCGACGACGCAGGCATCAGCATCACCCAGTCATGGAACACTGCCAACATGCTGGCGACCAAGGTCGAGCTCAACGACACCTTCGCCAGCGGCTTGAAGACCGAGGTTCTCTCCAACTTCAGCCCCGCTGCCGGCAACAAGGGCCAGAAGGTCAACCTTCACTTCAAGCAGCCCGCTTTCCACGGCCGTGCTTTCGTCGACTACTCGGCCGCCGGCGCAATTGGCACCACTGCCGATGCTGTCGTTAGCCACGAGGGCATGGTCGTCGGTGGTGAGGTCGGTTACGATGTGCAGAAGGCTGCCATCACCAAGTACTCCGCCGCTGTCGGATACACCACCCCTCTCTACAACGCTGCCGTCACTGCCACCAACTCCCTGAGCGTCTTCACCGCCTCTTACTACCAGCGCGTCAACCCCGCTGTTGAGGCCGGTGCTCGCGCTGTCTGGGACTCAAAGTCTGGCAACAACGTTGGCCTTGAGCTCGCTGCCAAGTACAAGCTTGACCCTGCGTCTTTCGCTAAGGTATGGTGGTCCCTGGTATGCACGAGGGCGTTCATGCTAATCCCATATAGGCCAAGATCAACAACCTTGGAATTGCTTCCCTCGCCTACAACACCAAGGTCAACAGCGGTTTGACCTTCGGTATTGGTGGCTCTTTCGATACCCAGAAGCTGAACGAGGCCGGCCACAAGCTCGGCACCAGCTTCACCTTCGAGGGTTAAGCACCTCAAAAATGACATTTGTGGACAGGAGAAGGGGGAAATTGCCTTAGATTCCTTTGGTTCTCGCGAAGCGATATCATATCAATCTAGTGCTCAAGAGCGAGCGTAGTATAGTTTTCTGACACGTACGATGACTTGTCTCAATGCAATACTTGGACTTTCAGACTCAAATGCACGTTTTCGTGGTGGTGATGATGACCAGCTCCTAACCATGTCTAATGCCATTTACTGGAGTCTTCGTCGGGGTTTTGAGGACATGATGCGTCGGCACGCCTACTTGTTTTATATATGTACTGGTCCTGACACGCCAGTCTTCAACAACACGCAAATTGCAAAGCCGAGCAAATGACCCTTGATCAATGAGCTATGCTGTTTGTTTACTGTTTGTTGTTTCTGATGTATGCTATGCCTGACTCCGAACGTGAAGCCATTACCTCATGAATGGAAACCCTGAAGCCTCATCTCTACTTGTTATAATCCACTACAAGTATGACAATAAGTCATGTGCAGCATAAAAGTGGAGCTTAGTAGTCGTCACCGCGACTGAGAATCTCCTTGCAGTTGGGTCGGAGTACGAATGTCTATCATGCGTCAGCAAATGTTCTTGCAAAGACTAGTCAACCACCTGGATTACTTACATGTTCGCTCTGTGCCGTGTAACTACCCTTGATGTCGCACAGTGGAGGGTAAGCCTCGACGATACCCGCACTGACCAGGTTGTTCAAGCCCAAGAGGTACTTGTCATGGCCCAATCGATCGAGGTACCGCCTGCAGAAAGGCAGAGTACCGAAATTCTTCGTAATGGAGTTAAGTAGTGTCTTCGCCGAAGAAACACGAAGAGCGACTTTCGGTGCATCCGCCCTCTTGGCGTAATGTGATGTCTCCATCTGAGGTGGTTGTTAGTTGAGTAGAGTGCAGAAGGTTGGGTGAGTGGCTTACGTCGTCTCGAACATAACCCTTTCCTGTGCTACCGAACGTTTCGATAGCAAATGTCTCGCCTTCTTCCATCTTTGTTTGGTCGCCGCCCTTGACGATGGGCACGGTCTTGCCGCCATGAATGGTGTAGTGGCCAATGGAATGACCGTTAAGGTTCCTTATGCACTTGACGGGCAGCATCTGTCCCTTGATCTCCACCTCGTAACTCTCCATGACTTCTTGGATGGCAGCCCCGATATCGCTCATGCGAACATCGATACCGGCCTCCTTGATACCAGCATTGGTAGCGGCCTTGCAGGCGTTGATCAAGTTGTCGTATACAGGGTCAAAGGTCAGAGTGAAGGCGCTGTCGACAATGCGACCGTTGATGTGTACACCAAAATCGACCTTCATCACGTCCTCGTAGTTGATGACCATCTTGTTGCCCGCGTTGGGTGTGTAATGTGCGGCACAATGGTTTATGCTCAGACCAGTTGGGAAGCCCATGCCCGCTATTTGCGCATCACCGTCCTCCAGACCCTGATGTCCTGTCAAGGCGCGAACCGAGTCCTCGATGCCCTCGGCAATCTCGGTAAGCGACATACCAGGCTTGATCCAGTTCTGAGCCCATTGCCGGACTTGACGGTGAATCTCTGAGCCTTTACGGTATTCTGTGAGGAAGTCGTTGTTCATGCGGTCGAGGTGGCGCTTCTCTTCGGACGTGGTGCGGTACGCATTCTCGTTGACGTATTCCTGGATTTCGCCCTCGGGATACGAGTTGTTGGGGAAGAGCTCGTCAATGCGGACTCGTGGCGGTGATGTCTGCACCTTGGGTCCTCCTGCGCCGCCTGCTGCCCCAGCCTTCTTCTTCTTTCGGGGCTTTCTCTTCTTCTTCTTTTTCGCAGCACCCTCGCCGCCTTCGGGGGCACCATCCTCGGCCTCATTGTCGTCGTCCGAGTCTTCATGGTCCACGTCGCCTGTGGGCTTGTCGCCGTCCTGTGCTGCGCCGTTGGTTGGCTTACTGCTGGTGTCGTCCACTGTATGCTGTTAGCGGCTACAACGCGCGCGAAGAGGTCGCAGAAAGCCGTACACTTCAAGTTGGCGACTTCGTCCGCTACCTTGGCCGCCATGTTGACCGTGGAGATCGTTCAGTGCTTGTCTCGTGGACAATCTTGAAATTTACGAGCCTCTCGAATCGCCCCGCTAACAGACGCCGGTGGGCTGTCGCCCACGCATTCGGTCGATTAGCCACAGCTAGGCCATGCTTGTCTTAGCCTCGGCAACTTGGCGATGACGTCCTCCATGCGCGCCCACCCTTCACTCAAACCCATACTTCCTGCATGGGCACCTACACCCCCAGATACTGGTAATGGGCAATGCCACCCCGCCCATCTACTCTCCTGCGATCAATCGCTTCATCCTCGGCCCCGCGTCTACCGAGCCTGTCATCGCAATACGTCTGTCACGCATGTCTCCGTCGCACAATACCTGCTCCTCCGCGGCGCATTCAGGTCGCACACTTGCATGCCACAGCACCACGACCCGCCGATGGGCTGGTCAACCACTATGAGACGTTGCATCTGACCTCGACGGCTTCTGCCTCTGAAATCAAGCGCCAATTCTATACCCTCTCCAAGAAAAACCACCCGGACCACAACCGCAATGATCCCGAAGCCTCGACACGTTTCGTCGCTATAAGCGAAGCCTACCACGTTCTCTCCGTCCCAGAGAAACGTGCACAATACGACGCTCAACTGGAGCATTCACAACGGCAGTCGCGATGGGGACAGAGCGGGAATGAATACCCGCAAGGGAGCTACAGCTCCGCTGCCTATGGCTCAAGACCAGCTAGTGGGCTGAACAAGAAGCGCAGTACCTTCCGAGGCCCACCGCCTTCGTTCTACAAATCTGGTGGCTATGGACGCCATGGTGCGAAGCGAGCCGAATACGCATATTCCAACGCACACGAACGAGGGGAAGCAGGCAAGGATGCCGGTCAAGAGTCCTACGGCGAATGGGGCGGCTTTGGTCCAGGACAGCAGAAGCAAGGCAATCAAGTTCCCCATTTTGACGACATAAGGCACAAAGAAACGCAGGACAACGTAAATGATCATATATGGGCTAGGCGAAGGAAGCTGCGTAGGGATGGCATCAAGGTGGAAGAGGAATGGGAAAAGGGCAATATGGTTGTCAATTTCCTAGCGGTTTCGACTGTCATTGCGCTCATTGGGATTACGGCCAAGTTCTTTGAGAATCGGCACGAGGCTAGTAGTCATCGTAAGAACAAGGAGAGCGCATAAGTTGCGTGGGCGATTGAAGATAGAATCAAAGGGTTGAGTATCATGTCGAATAATAACTCAGTACTTTCATCAAAGCCTACTACCCCTAAGCATAGCCTAGTGTGGCTGACAGATGAACGATGATGATGATGATGATGATGTTCTTCTTACGAGCGAGCATTCTGAACAGGAGGCCCCATGAATCGGAAAGAAAGATGTAATGAAGGTTGAGCTGCGAATCGAGACTTCCAAACTTTGGAATACCTAAACCCCATGGCCAATGGAAGCACACACTAGGAGTTTTCGCATCAAATCACCCACTTAGACGCTGGCGTGCTACTCTTTGAACCCTTCTCATCACGTAGTCCTCTTAGTGATGCGATATCTGCATGTATTAGCCACTGCTAATGGTCGGTTCATTTACGCTTACAAGAACAGTTTCTCTCTTGAATATACCCCCTTATCAGGATCATCGACCACCTCCTGCACATCGAACATCTTCCGCGCCGTCTTCATGAATGTCAGATCCGCTCGTCTCCTCCTCTTAAAGCAGAAATAGCACACAGTAGTCTCGCCGATCAGATCCTTTAGCGTCTGTTGCAGTAATGGAAATGCGGGCTCGAAATATACGCAGTCTGCTGCTAGGATGATATCCGGGTGTCTTGGTAGGTGTGACGGCGTCGGTTCGCCCCAATCGTATATCGACGCGCTGACACGAGACTGCAGAGAATTTAACGCAATGTTACGCCTCATGAGTTCAAACATTGGTTCTTGATCTGTGATATGCAGCGTAGTATCGACCTTACAACCTATCGCAACCGCCAACCCGACCAGCCCTCCTCCGGCGCCGAGTTCAACTATCTCTTTGCCCGCGAGATCATCTTTATGCTTCCGGAGCATATATTTGCTCAGGACCATGCCAGCTGGCCATAGCTGCCCGCCGCAACCGTTCTTCAGATCCTCATGAAGCCTGAGTGGGGGTGCCAGCAGACCGTCGAAATCTATTTCGGAATCGCCAGCAGGTTTAATGGGCGCTGGAGGAACAAAATCCTGTCCAACGCCAAAGACATCGTTCTCTTCGCTATCGGACATTTCGAGTAGGTTAGTCAGGGACAGCGTTCACAATTCGTAGTTGGAGTTGTGCCTTCCAACCTTGGAAAGTTCGCGCAGGCTCAAAATGACGTTAGTGCGACCAAATGTGGAGATGGATCCGCCGTGTGCAACGACCGAGACTTTCATAACGCTTCATCAACTTTCTTTTGTCCTTCATCGACTTGTTGGAACCCCCATATCTGGATATGGCGCGTTGCAGAAGCAAACCATAGAGTCACGGGTACCACGCGTTGATGCTAGGCTGAATGTCGACTAATGCACTGCTCGACCAGCTCTCCTGTTGTTGACCGTCGGGACGCTTCCTTATCTTTATTGTCGCGCCGCGATCGACATCAACCTGTAGTCAAGCCAATGACATCCTTTCTTGGTGCCTATCAAGCGCCTCAATACTGGGCGCTTTGGGATGGAATGCGGACACCGGGAGCGGGTTGCGTCCAGCCGAGGTGGCTTGCTTGTTCCTGCGGGCTGCTTAAACCCATGTCGACGTCTTTCACCTTACGGACTCGTTATTCTCAATTGTATCTTCACAAGGATTGTCAAAGAGCCGCCTGCTCAATCTTAGGGGTCGGCTTCGTGTAACAGTTATTGACTATGGGATTACCTACAGAGGTGCTGCAGGCCTGGGAGGCTTGCGATCGAACTGATACGCTCTTTGTGCTCGTCTGTTCGGTATTTTGTACGTATATCTTCCAC